GGTTCCTGATACCATCCCTGAGCATTCCACTGGTTCGGCGTGTATTGGAACAACTTTGGGACTAACAGGGTTTACTAGAATCCCACCACTCCACCACAGAGTCACCGCAGTAGACGTTAGATGAGCGCTGTCGCTATGCGGCACTTGTTGTATTTCAAGTTGGTCGATTATTTACGTTTCACGTTATTAATATATTAGTAACAATTTTTATTAAACAAGTATAATGAACAAAAAATAAACAAACGTTAACAAAACGTTTAACATGTTTAATGTTAATGTTAATTATTGTTTAATGTTGATTTGATGTGTTTCTGAATGTCGTTTCTCGTTCAGGTCATTTGTTACTACCGCCAAACGAGTGTGGGGCATGGACGGTTTATTAAAAGATCCGTGTCCCGAGGGATCACTGGATGAATCGCAGAGTGGCGCACAGACACAAGACACTTTCATCCAATCAGAAGAGCAGGTGAGAAAGATGTCAGCTTGGTTTGCTAACTCACCCAGGCCCAAACGCTGTAGCAACGTTCACGCACTCATCACTCGTCATTTGGGCATTCGCTCATCACTGTCAGTCGAAGCAAAACCTTTCTAGAACCAAATAAATACCACTGGTAATATCTACAAATCTACCTGTACATCACTGTCTAAAGTATTTTACGCGAGGGCTGTGATGAAGACTATGAATAAATTATATCGCCAGCACTGTAACAGAATCAACTAAACGACCTTACTAGCACGCCTCGGACTGACCATACGTCAGTGCATTAATACTATTGGTCAATAATAATCACTTGAGCGTATCACGTGATAACGAATACCTTCCAATACGTTTGTGAGACTATTCTGTGACAAGTACTATGCTAACACTTGTACTTCTTTCATTGAGCTGCGAGAAAGCATTTGCTTAGAAAATTAAGTTATACAAATATCGAATTGCGGCATAGAATGTGCTGGGTGTGTTAGCGGGAAATAATGCATTGCCCACCACTCTCGTTTCAGATGTCATCTCCATTGACCGATCTTCGCACACGTCAACTAGCAAGCAGTCTGTTTGCGGGCATGTACGATGGTGCCACCGACCCGCACGCCTCCATTCCACCCTTAACCCGCTTGCCAGATCTACCAAGCCCTACATCGGCTTCCTACGTGAATGTGTGGAGCTCAGAGCAGAGCAGTGCCTGTCTTGATCCGGGTGAAGAGGAGCGATGCAGCGGGGACACGGTTCATCCAGACCAGACTGTCGCGGTCGCAAGCGAAGATAGTCTGCCGCCAACGACTTTTCAGGCAGAGGATACACCGTTTTGGAGTACGGGCTAACTCTATACTCTCCTCTCTCCTTGCTAATTAAAATTTCAGCTGAAAATTTAATTATCCAATCTCATCCCTGTCTATAATATAGATATGTATAATATAGATACTATCTGTAATATAGGTGTAATAATAAAATATAGGGCCATAATAAAAATATTGTTTGTTTGCCCTCACCCGACCGACCCGCCAAAAACGGGCCGACTCAAAAAAATGTATTGATCTTTCCCATTCTTTTTTTTTTATAAATTGTATCACTGTACATTATATAAATCTGTAGGCAATACATTATATCAGGAGTGAATAATAGAAGAAGAATCTCTCTAGTGAATAATAGAGTGAATAATCTCTATTATTCACTCCTGATTATATGTACCAAGCAAAACAAGCATTCAACATAAAAGCTATCTCCACACAAGCACACCCGATCATGTAGACACCATGCTGAATTTGTAAAAAGACCCCCTTTAAAAAAAGAAAAGCCTACATGCCTACCCAAACTTTTCAGCCTGGGTCGGGTGAGGGCAAACAAAAATGTTTTAATTGTGGCCTAATATAGATACTATAATAATATAGATCTGTGTAATATAGATACTATCAAGAGCGTATAAAGAAGGAGAGCATACAATGGTGAAATGCTGAAACCATGTTGCAGTATTAGTCGAATTAATAAACTTTCCTCGTTTTATTTTGACGATTCTTTGCAGTATTATTGATCAGCTGTCCTACCTTGCTAATATAAAACAAACCGCTTGTCCCTACGATGCCTCTACGCTGAGATAATGAGCAGTGAAAATCTGGTATTTTTGCCAAAAACCGACTCCAGATCAGTCGGTACTGCGACTGTCTCTCGTTTTGTGTACTGTACGTTGCTTCTGGTCGCCGCTGTGTAGCGATGACTCAATACGTTATTACTACAGCATTACTACATCCAGCGTAAGGGGCGGGCCATCACCATGGCGATAAAGAACAAGACGTTTTTGTGGAGTAATGGCTGCGTCAAAGACTGGAAATGCGAGAAAAGATAGTAAAAGGAAAATAAATTTCACTGTCAATGAATGACGGAAACACGCGAGATTTCCCAAAGCTATCGGCAGAACGAAAGGCAGTCGCAGTACTGACTGATCTGAAGTTGGTTTTCGGCGAAAATACCAGATTTTCACCGCTCATTATCTCAGCGTAGGGGCATCGTAGGGACAAGCGGTTTATTTTATATTAGCAAGGTAGGACAGCTGATCAATAATACTGCAAAGAATCGTCAAAATAAAACGGGGAAAGTTTATTAATTCGACTAATACTGCAACATTGTTTCAGCATTTTACCATTGTACGCTCTCCTTCTTTATACGCTCTTGATACTATATATAGATAGATCTATATTATACACTCCTGATACTATGTATATTACTGGATCAAAACCTGTTCTCCCTCTATCTCTAATTTCTCTGTATCTCCAATATTTCGTGTAATTAATAATTATAGTAATAATCTCGATAATTTCCTGCGCTCATTCGCAGACACTAGAACTGCTTCGTAAGATGGCGAATCGCTCGAACGTAAACACCGTCTGCCAGAAGCTCAATGAGCATCTCGCGATGACGACGGACATGCACCAGCGCTCTCGCCTCTGCGCGAGCATCTGCGAGCTGATTGGCCGGCACGCGCCGTCCGACGAGTGGCGGCTCCGCGCGATCAACTACCTGCTGCTGACGGCGGGTGACGCGGTTGCCGGCGGCGACGTCGAGACGCTGCGACGGATGCTGCGGCACGGCGACGATGAGTTGAGGACGATGGCGGTGACGGAGTATGCGAGGTTGCTGGGGAAGGATGGGCTGCCGACGCATCTCATCAGGATAGGAGTGTGGGAAAGGAAAAACAACAAAGAATAGAGACGAAGACAGGAAGTAAGGGAGAATATAGAGAAAGAAAAAGATGATAGAAAAAAAAAAAAAAATTGTAGAACAAAAAGAAAGAAGGAGTAAAATAAGAGAGATAAGAGAGAAGATAAAGAGAGAGAAAAAAAACATAGGTAGGTACAGGGTGAGGGGTAGGTAAGATGGATCGGAGGGTTCAAGAAAAGATAAAAGAGAACAAGAAAAGGAGAAAAAAAATAGAAGGTAAAAAAAAGGAAACATAAAGAAGAAGTAAAAGAAAGAACAAAAAAAAGGAAAACAAAAAAAAAAAAAAATAGAAGTAGAAGTAGAAAATAAAAACAATGATGAAGGTAAAAAAAAAGGAGTGAGGGTAGAAAGGTAGCATAGCTCAGCAGAGGGCATATAAGAACAGAAATAACGAAGTAGAAAAAACAACTCGAGACAAAAAGTAAGAGGGCGAGAAGGTGGGTAGGTAGGATGAGTGGTAAGGGCTAGAGGGCTAGGGTAGGTAAGGGTGCAGGGCTAGGGTAGAGGGGGATGAGCGGTAGGTGCGGGCTAGGGTAGGAGTTAGATCGAGCCGTAAGGGTGAGGTAGGGTGAGGGTACGCTGAGGATAGGGATTAGAGTGCGATGAGAGGTAAGGGTGAGAGCAGGTAGAGTATCGGAGGTTAACTCGTAGCAGTAGATGAGGTTAAAGGTGAGGGGTAGGCGTAGGTAAGGGTTAAGGGTAAGGATTAGGTGGAGTGGAGGTAGCGTTAAGGGTGGCGTCGAGATAAAGGCATGAGGACGGATAAGGCGTTAGAGGCAGGCGGTGAGTGGTAAGGAGTGAGCGTGGACGGGCCAGTTAGATGCCTACCTGCTCGATGGATCCGTCCAAGGAAGTGAACGGTTGAATTGGAAAAAATTGCCGAACAAGACAGGGTGAATAAAGTCAATCTGAATTTATTCCACTCATTCATGCTATATTATCTTACATAAAGATTACCCTTTAAAAATTCTGTAAAACGTTTATCCTAGCATACGCAGAATAGCGGAATATGGCGGATATAGAAAGTTACTGAAAAACTAGCCATCTGCTTAAGTGCAAGTTCGTGCATTTCTCTACACAGGCACAGCAGATAAATCACTCACTAAAATTACTTAAAAGCGTTTCGCCACTAGAATATCTACTGCAACACTATGGCCGTCGGTTAAGTGCCAGATTCTGTTGCTTTGTTTCTCTACACAGACTCACTACAGGCGTATATCTCGTGTCACGCGGTTAACCCCGATCGTGTTTACAGGCCCCCCCCCC